ACTACATACATACGTACATACGTACATAGATACATATGTATGCATGTTGTCTATGAGCGGCGGGTCTGTTAACTTAAAGTAAATAAAAAGACCACCATGTTTCATTTCCATAACAGTAGACAACAAAACCAGTTTGGTGTTTTAAGTTTTTTATTTTTGTTTTTTAGTTGTAGTTTTCATGTTTCAAGCTATGAAAAAGGTTTTGACAACAATTTTTGGCGATGCTGCTGCAATTTTTGTGCACCAAACTGTCGTTGGTTGGTCTCTTGTTGCACTGTTGCACGGTTGCACGGTTTCCCGGGCAATGCATGAATGAAGTTCACTCAAGGGGCAGGCAACATTTTTGTGCATTTATATAATGCATGTACATATCTACAATGTATGCCCCAGTCCGTGACACTTGCCACTAGACAGTCCCATTTGCATATTCAATTGCATTGCATTAGGACAATATGACAGCCTTTCGGAGCTTTCAGAAAACGCTCAGATTCAACGTTTCGAAGTGCGTGTCTTAGATAGATTGGAATGCATTTTGCAATTCTCCAGAACGTTGAATGTTGCAGCGAAGCCTTTTTAAAGAAAGTAATTTATTGGAACAAGCGTAGCATAGTATGCGGACTGGAAGAGAACTTCGTTCTTCTCTTTCTCTCAAACAGAGAATTGGAGAAAGTGCTGTTGGCTTAACTGTTTGTGCTGGCCATTGTCCAATGGGCCGTACTGGACACAGAAAAGCTAATTATTATTAAGTTAATTCTCGTATTAGCCTGTACCGCTTTTCTCTGAGGCCCCCAGCAGTGACTCTTAACTGAAGCTTCTAAACATTGTTACTATTCTTAGTTGTAAATACAAATTGAGTCTCAACTTTCCGTTCCTGGAGTTGGGTAAGTTTGCGATTCTGTCTTCTGGCATCGTCAACGCTTTTCGCAGCTTATTAGTCGCTTTTTTGCAAGACGTTCGATGGGCATGGTATCCGGCTTCGGTTGCCTGGTAGTCTTTATATGAATTCACCTCCGATCATCAAGAATTTCTTGACTGACACCAATATGTATTTAGCAACTTTCCGCATGCTCAAATTACAATTCAAGGGAAGCGCTTTTGAAATCCATGCTCTTTTCGTACTCGCATGTATGTACATACATCTGTATGCAGTGAGTAGGTACATATATATTTATACGATCAAGCTTGACCACAAGATTAGAATGCAATATAAGCAAAATGATTTTATTTATTGACTACTCACAAATAACTGTATCAGCTGTATATCAGCATATATCCCCAACTTTTAAGATATGTATGCATATAGTATGATATACTCTACTTACACTATATATATATCCGAAAGTGGTAATGGATATTAATAAGAAATTAACCCTTTTGCGGGAATTTTTGGCACGTTGCATAAGCCATCGTCCCTTACGAATGCCTTGCGATCCGGGATAGGGGCAGAAGTAAAGTGCCTAATGTTGGTCTTCTGCCAATGTTCTGTTAAATGTTGCTGGTGCTATTTAATCATTCTTCGCTTAAATTTAATTGCTTCACAACTGCAACGGCCACAAGTGCTCGAATCGAATCGAAACTAAGGCGCACCGAATAGCCCGAAAGATGCATGCCATGGCATGGCGAACAATCAGTTTTCCAAGATCAGCTCTGGCCGGCAATGGATGCATTCATACGTTATTACATACACACATATCTACAATATGTACACGAATGTACAGCATTCAGTTGCGGTCAAAAAAGGAGTATGGAGTATGGACTATGGAGTGGAAGGGATGGGACGGTATGGGAAGGGATCTTTTATAAGGTGGAAATTCAATCCACCGTTTACAAGCAAAGAATATCTCTGGTGCACACGTTATGTGGCTTCTTACCCACACCCGTGCATACATGTGTATGTATATTTTGACCGCAGCTATACATGGCTTGTACAAATGCCACTAACATTGCTTAATTGAATCAGATTCTGAATGCAGATTATGAATACCATCGCATGCTCACTCTAGGAGACTCATCTCTCTGGTAAAACAATTTCTTTTCCCTAGCTTATGCTCTCAGGAAAATGAACTCTGCAAGCAAATGACCAGAGAGTCGTGGAAGAAGTCAGCAGCTAATTTTACTTAATTGATTTTCCACAAGAAAGCCGTAGGTATTAAGTATTTGAAGTATTGGAGGAGCGCATAGTTCAATGAACCGGAAATCTAATTAATTAATTTTTTCATTAAAAGCGGCTTGTGTAATCTAATTTGGCGAAACCACCAAAATCTTGCTGCAGCCAAAACGAATCGACCAACCGGTGGCACCGGCAAGCAACAGCGACGCTATTAAAGGCCAACAATTGTGGCATGTCCTAGTGACAGCCTCACCAAACAAAATACAATAACAACAGCACAGCCACAGCCACAGCCACAGCATCAAGCGACTGCAAGCTACGTGCCGCGGCAGTTGTTGCTCCTTCATTATTATGCATTAAGCATACGATATGTTGTACAACTTGGACACAATAGAAAAGGGGGTACATTGATTCTCCTTTTAGTTTTGTAGCATAAAGATAAAGCTATTCATTAACTAGCGCTTTTCTCGATAAGCTGCTACAATGCATATTTGTTTTCTTTTTTTTTTTTTAATTTTCTTTAGTTTTAAATGATTCAGAAAGACAAAATCTGAATAAAAACAAAATCAAAACTATAGTATGTCAATGAATATAGCATATTGGAAATTAATTGACTGAATTCAACACCTTTGAATGCGCAAGAGTACATAGGCTTCGGCGAGAAAAAACCTGACCTGGCTGCCTTTCCTGTTTTCCCGCACTCGGCTGCTATGGTCAATCTTTTTTGTGGGATGTCCAGGCTCCTTGGTAACTGCGTGCAATTCGTGGGGGTTCGTATGTCGCTTAAAAATTTTAATTGCCTTTGCGTGTTTAGAAAACTTACACGTATGTTCTGCGTACCTCAGCAGCTGGCCAGCAGGAGCACAACGGCTTGCCTTTCAGCTCTAGTATCTGCCACGGGATATCATACGGATGATTATCAGCCAAATATTTTCACACTTACGAGCTTTTCTCAGCAAATCTAAGTACTATCCAAATAGTTAAAGTAATGCAAAATTAAATTATGTAATAACAATTAAAAACTATATACATATGTACCCACCTATATATTATTTTAGTATTAAAAGCTTTCAGCTCCGTGGAGTAAGCATTCACATCCGTCACATTCTGGGGAAGGTATTAAAGGTACTTCAAAAGTAAATGGCCAATAGAAGCTTTGCCAATGAGGATTTGGCAATACAGAACGACGCCCTGAGATATGGAGATATTCGCACATATGGTGGTAATAATTGGGAACGACAGTTTTAGTTAATTTAACGGACCACAAGGATTAAACTAGGTATTGCTCGACATTTAAGTTAATTTTAATAAGTATTTTATATACATATAAACACGAATAAACACTCTTATGCCTATTCAATATTCATTCCTTATCATAGATTGGATAGGCGGGTTGATAATCCAGAAAAACCGTTTTTCCATAGACTTGAATTGGAACGAAACTGGAAGTCCCAAAAAGATTAAAGAAACAAAATGTATAATATTTAAAAATTTAGCAAAACTTGCGGAGGTTTTGAGCAAACGCTACGCTTAGCTAAAACATGCCGCGCTACTTTTCGAAAATTTACCAAATGATACGTGGCGCCACTGTGCCACCATTGTGCTACATGGTGGCAACACATTCATCTACATACATAGAGATGTCTTCAAAATATACCAGACACTAAATACTACAAAATACTTATTGGCGGCAAAGATCACCGTTTTAAAACTGCCTGAGCTGAATGCAAAAGGAGGCACCAGGACCGCCTCTAAATGAGCCCCTAAAGAAAGAAAGAATGAGGCGAGAGAACGTCTGCATAGGTTGCTGCCACATATGTACATAGTATATGCGTTACAGTGTGGTACAGTGAGCAATGAAAACAACAAACTAGGTTCTGTCTAGCTATTAATATTCCACCGGTGCGATATTTAACCTGTGAAAAATGGTACCCAATAAAAAAATTAATTATAATATTATACCAATTATAACAGCGAATGGTCTCCAGCTCAACCTGAATGGTATACCATCCAGGGCCTTTTTGCCGAACAACGTTCCGAATCTGGTGGGTTCACCTTTTCAATGGTTGAGAAATGCAGTTCCAATCATCAACCTATGGTGAATATGTCGAAGACAACGAAGAGAGCCAAAAACCGCTTCGAAGAATGCAGTTCGGCCATCATTGTGCGCGCCAAATATAAACTGTTTGAAAAAAAACACCGAAAAGATTTTAAAATACCGTAAGCAGTCTGTGTTCTGTTCTCAGTATATTTAATTAATATTTCGGTATCCTTACGGTATATTTCCACGGTCACATTGCGAGCTGGTAGATTTCGCATTCTGGGTAAAAGAGCTTTTGTCAGATATCAAAGAACTAGTTCAATGTATTTGGTATTTGAACCAGTTTTAAAATATATGCAGATAACTAGATTGCAGACGGTATATTTTGGTATATTTCTAGGGTTGGACGGTATGTTTTAACGATAAGTCCGCGGTTTGAATTTGAATTTCCTCACCGTGGTGGGCCAGAAATCATCGCTCTCCCGGAAAGTGAATGTCCGGGCGCAGATCTCGAAAGAGCATTTCATCTATCAGGCGCTTATGCTTCTTCACTGCCACACCTTGGGCGTGCCTTCGGCGAAACTGACGACTGCATGCTGAGCGCTCCACTGATGGCATACGGCTGGGAACTGGTGCTGCTGGAGGCTGCCACTGGCTCCTACTGCCGAAGATCCGCCAACCGATAAGCGCCTAGGTACACACGCAGACCATCGATCACGGTCGGGAGGCGAACGACGGAAATGTAATCCGTAACAATAATGCTCTTTATTGATGCTGCAACGGTTCTTACCGTTTTGCCCAGTAGAAATAAAATGGCGTACAGATTTTCTGCATGCAACTTTCATCGAAATGAATTCTATATTTATTTGCCAATACAATATCAGAACGAATAATTTGAAAAATAGTGACAGCATCGAAAGACTTGAAACTCTTAACTAAATACATTTTTTTGTGGATCCTGCGCCTTAAACAGAACTAAAACTAATTTACATAAAGAACCGGGACGAACGGGAAAACAAAATTGAAAAATGATTGAAATTAGTCGACAAAAAGATTTAATTGATACAAATGCACAGAATATAGTCTGGAGTTAAGAGCAAAGAAATTAATATAGTTTAAATATAACAGCTACAAATTTGTCTTGTCCCATTTGAAAACATTGAAATTGTTGACTTACATTGCTAATTACATGTATTGTTTTTTTTGTTGTTTATTCTTTTGTAAAACGTATTTAAAAACTTTTTTTTCGCCACAGCTTTTGAGCTTGAAAGTCATAAAAACAACTACAACCATCACCAAAAACCTCTTCGAGCCTTCGAGCAGCAAAAGCTATGAACATTTTTTGCCAAGAAATGTTCTTGTTTGTTTTATATTTTTTGAAATTTGCTTCTTTCCTCTATTTACTTGTGTAAACTGGTTGCATATAGAAAAACATTAAGACTAAAGTACATACATGTATATTCTCTCGTTCTAGGCAGTTAACATGGCTACAAAACTATTCAAATATGGTTAACTAAACCCTTCCTGTTTGTGTTTCGGTTAGCTAGTGGTCTGTTCACGGGTGGGTTGTGGGTTTTCTTGTTTTCTTGGGTGTTTCAGAGTGGTAGGGATTGGGGAGGTCAAGGGTCTAGGATCTGGGGTGAAGGGTCGTGGAAGTTGGCTATAATTTCTACCTTCACGCAAGGCTAAAACATCATCTTTTGGTTTACTTTTCCTCTTCGATTTTCACTGTAATTTCAACGATTTTATTTCCTCTTTCTTTCCGCAGGCACACGAAAATGCAGTGCATGATAAACTGTGCGTCTCCCTTCCACTTCCGACGCCTCCAACATCCTAAACGATCTCCGACCAGCCGAGCACCTGCTCCAATTGACTCTCGCTGAACTCGAAGCCACCCTCGCTCATGATGTAGTCGTCGTTGCAGAGGTCCATCATGGCCGGGGTGTGCAGCAGGGGATTGCTGTTGTCCAAAAACGATATCGAGGCCTTCCTGCTGGGAGCGCTGCTACCGTTGTGGCATCCTTCGGCCTCCTCCTCGCCCACCAGTTGCTGCTGTGGGATTACATCGAGAGGCGGAGGCGCAGACTCCTCCAGTCCAGTGGCCCTGTCGCTGTTCGTGATGAGCACCCGTTTGCGTGGCGACACCGATGATCCGTCGACGAGGCTGTTCTCGTCGATGCCGCTGTCGCTGGAGGCATCTGTGTCGCAGGCCGTCAGGCCCGGCGGCACGGAGTCGTCCAAAGAGACCACTGACCCGGCATCGCCATCGCCTCCGCCCGCGTCAGAGCCGCTGAAGACCGGCGACAGCTGGAAGTTGGTGCCGCTGATCAGCGGATTGTGGTGATAGTTACGGAGCACGGCCGACGTGGAGGTGTGACAGTGCAGGGGAAATCCGTACTTGCCGTAGCCGCCAAGCGGAGGCGATTTCGGTCCGGTCTGATCCTGATCCAGGCAATTGTCGTCTATAATCATCGGTTCGGAGACGTCTTCGGGCTCGTTAACCTGTTTTCAGGGGGTGGTAGAGAAGAGCACAAAATAAAAAGTCAATTAGTAAGGGGTTTTGGTGGGCAACGACACTCAATAGCTGGAAGCACACGCCCAGGGCTCTGTAAATGCGAAAAAGTGACAATTTATTTCCCTGCTACAATTTGTTTTGAATAATTGGATCGATTTTCTTTACGTACTGACTTATTATTAACTTATCGTCATTAATTATAAGCGAGGAGTTTCAATTACAATAACAATTACAATTAAATCTTAAGGAGCGCAATCTGAACGTAAATTAATTGAAATTAACCAATTCGCAGCTTAATTACACCCTGGATCACTCGTGACTCCCTGGAGTATGGTACCATTCCCACTCCCATTCCCATTTCCATTTCTATGCAAATGGCAGCGATTAACTCTACGAGACCTGGAGGCAAATTCTGATACCTTGTCAGGCAATGAAAATTGTAAAATCTAGCGTAAAAAGTGGGCTAAGCCACAGCCAGTCCACGCCAGGCCAGGCCAGGCCAGGCCAGGGAAATGTTTAAAGTCAGAAGACATTTACTCAGACAAGCCAAATTCCCAGTGGGGCCTCCCGAGAGCGAGCAACAGCAAGCCGCAGGCTCCGCCAGTAAAAGTCAAGTGAGAAAGCCCCCCAGCCACCCACAAAGCCACAGCCCAAGGAACCAGTCGAAGGGTGGCCGCAATAAATCATATTTTAATGATGGCCCACAGCCGGAACGGAACGGGTCTGCTGCTGGCTGAAATTCGAGTAGAATCCAGCAGCGGAGCTTTATTATGCTGTGGATTTCAGATTGACACAAAGAACTCCTCCCACATCCCGAGTCAGAGTCCGAGTCCGACTACTAGTACGAGTCGCTGTCTATTCCCACCAGACAGACTGACAGGAAGTGGGGAATATATCAGTTTCGATGGCTGCCAAGCTGCCGCCAGCAATTCTCAGTAATGACAACCGGCCGATGACGAAGATAAAGTTGCCAAAAATTGCCCTGCCCGCACTCCACTCCACTCCACTGCTCGTGTGGTGCAAAGTGGGTTCAAGTGCAGTCTATTGAACCCCTGTTCGGCGATGCTTTAATGGGGTTTTGTTTGTCTCCGATTGCAGCGAGCGGAGCGCTAATTGCTGCAGTCCGACGGCAATTACGGACGAAAAGCGAAAGTGCTGTAAGTTGATCGATGGGCAAACAAGCCGCGTAAGAGAACAAAGCCAGCAGTCAGCAGCCCCCCGCCCCCAGCTGCAAGTGAAAGTCATTTCAGCGGAATCCCCAACGTTGCTCCTCCAGGCATATCATCGAGGACGACACATTAACAGCTGCCGCACACAGCGATAGGAGACGAGACCGCCCATAAACATCTTTAGCTGTCGCGGGGCGTCGGGGCGTATGCGCAACAAAATGGTGAAAAATTCTGATGGCACGCGCAGTGCCTTCCCGAGGGCATCGACGGCCGGGGAATAATAGGTTTATTGTTTGATATATATTGTGTGCCGCGCACGAGCCGGCTTACACGCATTCATGGGCATTGGCCTAATGTGCTCTAATAAATTATTAAAGGCATTTGCTGCCACGCAAAACGAAACTATTGGAAGGAAACCGGACAGAATCCTAGACAAATTGTCCGCGGCAAAGGCTTCCGGGTGGGTCCTGCCATCCCGATGGCATTACAATAATTGGCAGGCGAAAGCCGAAAGCCGTCAGGAGGAGCCTTCTCCTTTTCGCCTTTTCGAGCTTCAACTTTATGGCGGATTTCCACTTTGCCCTGCGTTCTGCTGAGCTGTGCAGCGCCGTTTAAAGCCATCTAATTGGATTTTTTTGTTTTGTATGGCACGGGCTCGCATCGCATTTCATCGACGCTGGAACGCGCTTTTTGGGGGGTAGCCACGCCCATGGCAGAGCACGAAAGTCCAATAGAAAAACAAAAGTAATTAAAGGCAAACTTTGCTTCCACTTCTGCCAAGTTTCTGCACAAAAATCTGCTGTCACCGCACAATAAAGGGGCCCATTTGAAAGCGTACAGCACACAGCACAGAAGTAGGCAGCAAATGTCCTTAAAGGCCTCCTGCGCGTGGGTGGAGTACAGTCTCACTTGGCTGAGTTCCAGAATGGGCCTGGGCGTGGACCTGAGCCTGGGCAGCAGTTTAAACTCTTGCCCCTCTCGTTGCGTAATGTGGCCGGCAGACTCCTGGGAACGCGCCGCAGTTCAATAGAAATTGGCTTCGTCGCCCCGGGCTCTCGATTCGGCTGCTTGTGCGTGTTGCGTGCAGGAAAGGATTGCCCAGGCCCCCCCCTAGATGCTCCCATTGATGTTTGCATTTTTCTGAGTCCTGCCCGAATCATGGCATAACGAGGAGAAATTGAAATTGAAAACTGGAACCCACCTGAGTGCCTTCTCGAAATCAATAAGCAATAAAGTTGAATAACTCACGCGCCAGTGGCAGCGGCAGTGGCAGGGAGACAATGTGGCGTATACGTAATGCAATTGTCGTCAGGCATATTTCCCCTTGAAAAGGACTGTGCTTGCGTGTGTCTGCTTTCCTGGTGGATTGCGTAGAATTTAATTTCGTCACAGCGTTCGTGTGTGACGAAAAGTTGTCATTTATTTACAGGCAAACGAGGCGAAAGATTTAAATTCTGCCTGAAAGTGAAACCCCAACCCAAGTCCCAGGACGAGCCCACACGGAGATAAGAGAGAAAGTTATCCGTGTGCTCGGCATACTTAAGTGCTCCTCTGGCGGGGCAGGCCAGGCGGCGGAAGGCAGTAATGAATTCGAAGCCAAGTACAGCCTGCCAGGACAAGGCAGGACCAGTTTTGCTGACTTGATTAGCGGACAGCATCATTTATTCCAATCAAAAGATTTCAATAAATTGCCAGTCAGTCTCTCAGTCCCCGGGTCTCCCAGTCCCCAGTCAGGCAAATAGAACACACAATAGAGATTAATCAATTCCCTGGCTGGCATGGCATGTCCTGGTCCTGATCCTGGTCCTGCCTGTCAATACAAATATGCTATGCTGGAGGGCAGGGCAGGCCAAATATATATATATATGCACATAAATCGAAAAGCGGCAAAAGAAAAGTTGTAAACAGACTACTCCTTCAGCACCCCCCGCCCGCTGCCCCAAAACGTAGGTGCAAGAAAAACACACAATTTCCCCCCTTCGATTGGGGTTTTCTCTGTGCTGTTGACCGCCTCTATCCTGGGTTTTCCTCTGCCGAATAGGATTGGGAGGCAGGATTCGAAGGGTTTCCGAGGAGGTGGTTTTTGCTTTATTGTTTTATTGGATTTACTAAAATATTTATTAAAAGTTTATTAAAATACTTTATAATCCAGATATCATATTCCGTATTCCATATTCCATATTCAGTATCGTATCGTGTTACATATCATATATATACGCATGTATATGTGTAAGTTGCTTGACATCTTGTATATCTGTATATGTATATGTATATTGTATAGGTGTATATGTATGTATAATATTGCATACTCTGCGGCGCTTAGCCTTACGATTCGAGTCTAATTCAAGGCTAGTTCCGCTGTCTACTCCGCTCTATGCTTCAATTTGCGCTAACTTCTTGTGGGTGGAGGGAGGATAGGGGCAGGGGTCTCTGCGAGGTTGCGAGGTCTGTGAGGAGGTATTCTCGGTGTCTCTTGCTTGGCACTGTGCGGCATGGGGCATGTGGCATGTGGCATGTGGCATGTGACCTGTGACCTGTAAGCTGCTTACTGCTGACGGGGCACAAATAATTGTTGCAAATTAACTGGCCTGCAGAGGCGAAAGGTCCAACTGATTTGTTGGCATGGCAAATACAAGTAATGCCCCATGAAAATGACTCTTCATTTGTTCGTGCTCTTTGACAAATGAGTGTTCCCAGCCCCCGCCCCCGCCCCCGCCCCTGGCGAGACGAGTCAAGGCTCCAAGATAGAGCTAAAGTGGTGCCTGTGTGCCTGGCACCTGTTGATACGCCCATTCGCGAGCAATCATATTATAATTTTGCATAATGCCTGCACAATTAATCAGGAAGCCAAACGAGAGGTCGAGGTGGAGGTAGAGGTAGAGGCCCTGAATGAACTTCAAATTGACTGGGACATCCATATATGTATGTTAGCTGGATATACATGCTAGAAAGGAGCTAGGAAGGGCATTAATCAAAATCATCCAGCCGCCAAATCAATTGCAGCGGGGGGCCGGGCCCACAAAGTGCTTGTCACCTCCGACGTGGCTCTGGCTCTCCATCAGAGCAGCCCTTCAGCCAGACTTTGACATTGACTTGAGTTATGATGAGTGGGCTGAATCGTCGAGAGCTCGCTTCAGGGAAGGGATATGTCATGGGTGTATCGGTGTATGAGTGGCTGCTCCTCTCCTCTCCTCGCCTGTCTGTCTGTCTGTCTTCATTTGCTAGCCAAAAATTACGGCCCAGCTAATAAAGCTGTGGCACAGTAAATCTGATTTGGGGACTTGGGGCGTGGCAGTAGACTTGATTTGTTCTCTCACAAAAATTTCACTAAAATGTACTTTGCGTTACTTTACTTTACTTTACTTTACTTGACTCTGAAGCATTTTCCGAGGTATGCAGGTTTCGGCTTTGTTTTGTTTTAGGCTATAAAAATGACACAACATTTAGTTTAGTTTAAATTTAGTTTTGGTTTTACTTTTACTTTACTTGCTCTAGGTTTGGTTTAGCTTTTAAGATTTAATTAGGTTAGTTTTTGGTTTTTTTTAGTCATACTTGGGCTCTAGTTTAGCTAATCCTTTGCTATAAATGCGAGACACATACAACAAGATTTGGAGGTAGTAAAAAACGATTCGGCCCCACCCTTCGCATCCCCATTGGGGATGTATGTGTGGGGCACTGGTAATCGTACTGGTAATCGTTATCGTAATCGTATTTGTAATCGTTATCAAAGGGTCGCACAACATTCACTAAGAGGTGTACAATATTGAACTATCAAATGTCGGAGTAGATATAGGGTATAGGGGGTATAGGGGGTATAGGGGGGTATAGGTGTATAGGGGGATTAGAGGTATGTATGTGTATGTATATTTTAGTTAAATGTATAATGTCTTTGTCGATGCGCTGGCATTGGCCTCCTTTAAACCGGAGGATGCACGAATGCATGTATATGTGTACACGAGGTAGTATGTGAGTGCCGCACCGCTCGAGCGCGCTCGGGGGCCGCGGTCTGCACGATCGTACTTATACATGTACTGAGGTATTTGTGGTATATTTGTGGTATTGTATGTACTTTCTGTTCGATCTCTTTGCACTCCGTCTCGATAAAGCTATCTATCCACTGCTTTCATTGCTGTTCTGCTCTCCATTCTCATTCCCATTCCCACTGCCACTCCCACTCGCACTCTCTTTCCTATTCCTTTCCCATGCCTTCAATTCATTTCCTTCTCTGTGCCATACGTAACGCGAAAAATTTCAACTAAATGTGGGACTGGGGATCGTCGTGATCGTCTAAACATATGAAGTCGTTAATGTTATTGTTATCGTTAGTCGATTCAAATTTGACTTGCTCTGGGGATCGTAATACTATCGTCTCGATATCCTATCCCATATCTAATATTAGGCAGATTAGTTTTTAGTTTAGTTAAAGCCACATCGATTAATTTTGAGAGTTCTCTAGCTTACTGTCGGTTCTCTGGTGTTACATCCCTATCCCTATTTACATCTCCCAGGACTTCCTGCTTAGATCTATGTTTAAGTTTCGAGGTTTGTATATAATTTTTGAGAGTTTTCGGCTCACAGTCTTTTCGGGCTATAATAATTATTCAAATACTCTCAAATCCGCCTGGATCTGGGTTTAGCTCTGACTAAATGATTATCGAGAGGAATATATCGTAGTACATGCTAATTGTCTGTATATATGTATGTACCTATATGGTATGTGTACGGTATTTGTCTAGTTAGTTGCTTCTTCTTCTGATGCTCCTGGTGCTACGTACAGGACTCGAGGATTGCTTTTCAATTTGTCTAAATGTTCTAATCTTAGTCTCGTATCATCTCGTCTCGTCTTGTCTCGTCTCGTCTCGGGGGTTCCTGCTAACAGTATAGTTTGCTATAATTTCTGAGCTGATTGCGAGAGAACACGCTTGGCTTCATTGTGTTTCGTTGAGAGTTCTTTGAGGGCTGTTCCATTCCGTTCCGTTTCGTTTCGTTCCGTTCCGGAGGTAGTTTCGGTTTACAGTACTACGGGTGGGTGCCCGCGAGGTAGTTTCGGTTCGGTTCCGATCTGTCTGTCTGTCTGGCAATTTCTCCTATGAATTGTTCTATTCTGACCAGAGAAGCCTTCTCCTTAAAGCCTCCACTCCACTCCAATCTGCTCTGGAGCCGCGCAAACAAAACATACAACAGAAAAAAAAACTAAGAAGAAAAAAGAAGAGAATTAATGTAAATAAGGCATAGAGCGCCCCCAAGTAGGCAGCAAATATTTGTCCAAGCACACACATGTGTCACAGGATAATGCAAATTGGCCCGGGTCCGGTCCCGGTCTCGGTCCCGTTCCCGGTCCCCGACAGCATGTTGCAAGTGCCGCAGCCAATTAGGGGAAGCGGACGATTCATTAGTGCAGGCCATACCAGTAGGCACCATCGCAGCCATGACGCACAAGTGCGAGCCTGTGCCGTGTGCCTCTGCCGCTGCCACTGCCACTGCCACTGCCACTGACTGGGCTGGGAAGCTCGTGTAGCCCATAAAACCAACGGAGCAGCGGAGCCGCCCAGCCCGGGTGCCCGAAAACATAAGAGACACGTGCCGCAAAACAGAAAGAGCGACTGAGGCTGAGGCAGAGGCAGACGCAGAGGCAAAGAGCGTTGGCGGTTGCTCTCTCCTTCGGCCCAAACGGAAAGTGAAAGTCAAAGTGAAAGCGAAAGCGAGAGCGAGAGCGATGGAGAGTGCGAGTGAGCGGAGAGCCAGAGCTGTGTCAGCTGTGTGCTCAAAAAAAGGAAAATAAAACACCCAGAGGATAGACACAGATGAGAGTGGGAGTGGGAGTGGAAGTGGGAGCTAGGACGTGGGGAGTGGGCCTAAGAGAGGTGCAAAATCAATACGGATACGGAAGGGAAAATCAAGCGGGAATGCGACACGCGCTGGAATGCTAATGTGCTGCCGGGCATGGAATCCCAGGCAATCCCAGGAATCAATGGCCCGACTAAAGTAGTGTCAATAGTGTAGGAGGCCGCTGCCTTCCGCTCTGACATTTTAAATTCTGGCAGGGATGGCAGGAAGGGCAGGGGAGGGACAATCGTACGATTGTACACTATTTGCCATCTGGATATTTATGATTTCGGGACTCGTTTTCGGGTGCCGGCTCTAGAGGGTGCTCTATCCAGCTGGAGGGGAAAAATGTGCGTCAGACACGCCATGGCCTGCCAGGGCCAGGGGCAAAGTTAATTAAGCTGGTAAGCCAGGGAGGGAGAGGGAGACGGAGGGTAGGGGGCCTGGCGACACAATGGGAACACAAATTTGTTGTGTAACAGGGACCCCGACCTCTGAACCCTACACTCGACAGAGTGGAATGATGTATGTAGGTCAGTACGTGGCCCAGTGCAGAAAATCAATAAAAGATTTTTGAAAATATTTAAAGGGAGGAAAATCAAAACAATTACAGTAATACATAAACGTATAACGGTTTCTGGTTTTTGGTTTTTTGAAAAATCACTCCTTCGTTTATGTGTGTGTGTGTATTAAAAGACTACAAATAATAGAAACAAAAACAAAAGGTCTACAAACTAAATTACAAACGAATCAAAGGCTTCTGCTCCGCGCGGGCGGTGTCCGTGTCGGAGTCCGAGCCGTAGCCGGAGCCGGAGTTCGGAGCCGGAGGCCGAAAGTTAAAGCTTCAGTGGCGACCCGAGGTTTGTTCTAAATACGCTCTATTATTTTCACTATAGTATGTATATATCGTATGTCTAGAGGTATTCGTATCTATATATATGTATATGCCGTTGAGGGATCTGCCCAGCACGAGGATTGTTCTTTTAATTGCTAATAGTTGCTAAAACGTATGTATATATATATCATATATGGATGTATATATAGGTGTATATGTGAGTGTGTGTGTGTCTGACTCTTCACTAGAGAATTAGTGCACAGAATTGTTGTCTTCTAGCTTAAGGTGAAGTGTGTTGTGTTGTGTTTTCTTTTCTTATCATTTTCTTTTGTCTTAGTTTCTTGGTTAGGGATTTCCCACCTTCTTCCTCTCTCTCTTGGTTTTTTGTACGTTCAGCGCTCGAATTTCAGGGTTCAATTTTGTTACTCTTTGCGTTTCACAAATCTTGACAATTTACACAGTTTTCGTTTACAGTATTCTCATTCTTTCAAACAAAGAAAGAAACAAACAAACAACGAAAAAGGCCAAAAATGAGTTCGAATCAAACGCTGTCCTGTCTTGTCCCTATCTCTATCTCTGTCTCTGTCTTTCTGTGACCTGTCTCCATCCTCCTTTTCTCGTACCTCTCTTTTCCCTCAGTCCAACTGCTTATACATGTAACAAATTCAGGATTCCTCGAACAATTTGAATAAGTCAACAGAAATCATAAGGTCAAAGGCTACAATACAGGGGGGATGACGATCCAGAATCAATAATCAAGAATCGATAATCAGAAACTCAAACAACAAAAGCAAATGCTATCACAGTAAAAAACTTAAAGTTGCCATATTTGAATTTTAATAGTTTACAATTTTATTGCAATTGTTTTACTCATTCGTCATCCGTCCTCCGTAATTCGTTCTCCGTCATGCGTCATGCGTCATCCTACGTCCGGAGTCTGCGATTTGCGATCTGACGATCTGTCGATCCGCCGTGATCTGTGATGCACCCGCGGTGGATCGATCTATCAATCGCCTTGCCTATGCCTACGGTTTTACGTTTTATTTTATGTACAACAGAGTAGTAGTGTTTATGCTCAACAGAACAGAGAAGGTATAACAACATGCTTATGGCGCTATGGCTTACGGCTTTCGGCTTACGGCTTACGGCTCTCAACTTAAAATGAAATCAACAAATCGCGCGCCAAGCTAAAACTTAAAGATTAAAGATACACGCGATACATCCTCGTCATCCGCTTCGCATCTGCATCTGCAGCTGCATTTGCATTCGCATTCGCATCCGCAGCCGCATCAGCGTGCGCACTATTTTAAATAGTCTACAAATTTATAATTTTAAAGTCCACGCTGCAGCTGCAGCTGCCACTGCCACTGCAGCTCTTACACATCTACGGCTATACGTATCATCTAGGGCTATCATCTATCGGCTATCGACTATCGACTACTTCCTAGGTCTAAGGACTACACGAATAGAACGCCCCCCACTCTTTGAGAGGTTTGTTTTAGTTTTATATAAAATCGATCCATTTACAAAGACAAATTGTAGAAATGGGCTTGTCCGTGTGGTTTACGAGTAACTTAGCAGCTCCTTGGTTTAATCATAGCCTTGGCGTTGCCGTTGCCATTGCTTCCATTAGCTAATTGAGAGGCGGGTGAAGGTCTCCGGTCTCTGGTCTCGCGACACTAGAACCTCTAGAGTCTGGAGTCTAGAGCCTAGACCTTGGCCAGCTGCTTCTTGGGCCGCATGGGCACAATGCAGTAGCCGGCACTTACGTCACGTCCGCTGACGAGGAGGTTCTTCAGCACCGAGTTCGACTGCTGCTGCTGGAGCTTCTGCTGCTGCTTTCCCTCCGCGGTCTGCTGCCAGCGGTCGCCGGCCGCCCGCTTGCCAGCCAGCGTCTGCTGCTGGGCCGAGTCCTTGCCGATCAGCTGCTGTAGCAGCTGCGGCGACTGCACATCCAGGCAGATGGTGCCGCTCTTCAGGCGCTTCGATTCCACCGGGTTCCCCTGGCTCGTCTGGCTGTTCAGGTGACGCTTGCTTCCGTGCTGCTGCTGCTGCTGGGGCACAAGGATCTGCTGCATGGCTGGCTTTCCAAGGCGCTGCTGCTGCTGCGTCGTTGTCTGCTGCGGCTTGCTCTCCACCAGTCGAATGGTGGCCTTCGTGGTCACTGGCGCAATGCTCGCTCCGTTCAGCAGCTTCATGGTGGCGGTGGGCGCCTGCTGCTTGGTGGTCAGCATCAGCTCCTGCAGCTGCTCCTGCTGCTGCTGTTGCTGTTGCTGTTGCAGCATGCTCTTGTTGTTCTGAATGGTTATCAATGGAACGGCATTCAGGATGACGTTCTGCTGCTGCTGCTGTTGGTGCTGCAGCAGCTGGATGGTCGTCGCCTTGCAGGGGGAGGACGAGGCAGCCGGACTGACGGCAGCCTCTGCCATGTTGATCTGCAGCAGGTCCCAGCAGTCCAGATTGGAGGCTAAAAGAGTCGGTCAGACATTCGTTAGCAAAATTATATTCTCAATAGGAACGGAAATGGAGATGGCAGGGGAAATGGAAGCGGGGATGGGGGCGTTGGGTGGTACATTCTTGTGGGATGTTGAAACATGCTGCCTAATCCCGGCCCCTGTTGCCGCTGCCCCCTCCTGGTGGTCGTCGGAGAATCGGAGACAAAATTAGTTCCTTTGCCCATGACATTGATGCTAATTTAAAACAATAATATTTTGCCTGCCAGCAGAAGAGGCAGACCAGAACAGAACAGAGCATTTCGCACATAAATAATCGAGAGAATCTTCTGAATCTGAATCTGCAGATACAAGTGTACATATATCTGTGTATCTGTGTATCTGTGCTGCGGCCTTTGTCTCCGTATCTTTCTCCGTGTGGCCACGTATCTACTCGAATAGAATAGATACAGTTTTGTCTGTGTGTGCGAGTGGCATAAATCAGGCAGAGATTAGCCGAAGGTGGAAATATCATAGAGGCCTAAAAGGCATCTGCCGCTGCCGCTGCCACAGCCCCACCTGCCTGTCACATTTGGAGGCACTTGCAGTCAATACATCTGACAGGGCCATGCGGCTGCCTCCGACAGTGGCAGGCAGGCATCAATCACGGGCACAGCCCAGGATGGAGACCCCTCCTCCCTGCCCACTGCCTTTGACATGTGTCAAAGGTAAGAGAGCAATGTGTGAAAATTACGCAAAATCGTTTACAAAGCACTTCGCTCCCTTCAGAAGAGCCACGTCGTGGCTGCCTCGAAGGAGAACCCAAGAACGAGGGTATCGAATGGAGTGGAATGGAATGGAAAAACTTGGGCCCCCATCAATTAGCTCTCCCGCAGCTCCCCCTCTGGCCGGCCGCAGTGACATCTTCCGCGACACGCAACAATATTTCTGAATATTTTCCTCCTCTATTTTTACATGTAGGCGTTGAAGTGCGTGTGTGGCGTGTTTCGGGTGTGGGTATGGGTGTGCGTGTGCGTGTGTGTGTGTGCGTTGGCAGCATGTCATAAAAAATAAAGCAAGCATAAAGTTTTTTCTGTTTTCTGTGGGATATTTTTAGCCTGGCAATGCCATCAAATTAGGCCTCTCCAAACCAGGAGGATCCCTCCCCAAAGCTATCCCATCGATTGTATCTATCTATCCCCAAACATGGACTGATGATGGTGATCTTCCGCCTGCATCCTCTCCCTTGATACTTACAATCCTTGCTGTAGTCATTCTCAAATGCATCCTCCATGGAATGACTTAGGCTGGGGGCCATCGGCACCTCGTACTTCTCCTTCTTGCACTCTGAGTTGCTGAGGCTGAGCAGCTGCTGCTGGCGTTGCTCCTCCTCCTGCTGCTGCTGCTGCTGCTCCTGTTGCTGCTGTTCCTCCTGCAACTGCAACTCCTGCTGCAATTGCTGGAAGCTGCGAAAGTCGCTGGTGGCCTCCTGCTGCTGATGCTGCTGCTGCTGCTGCTGGAGACGCTCGGCGCACTCCTCTGCGGCAGGTCCGCCACTCCCTCCCAGGATGGAGAGCGTTCCGTTGCCCGTGCCACAAAGCAGGGCAGCCAGCTCGCTCGAATCGGTGGTGAAGACTCCGCCGGCCTGCTGCTGCTGCTGGTGGTGCTGCTGCTGGTGCTGGTGCTGATGCTGCTGCACTGGCGATGGCGACAGGGAGGACACTGTCGATGCGGGCGACGAGCACAATGAGTTGGAGAAATGCTGCTGCTGCTGCTGTTGTTGCTGTTGCTGCTGCTGTTGCTGGTTGTACTGGCTGTATGCCTGCTGCTGCTGGTGGTGGTGCTGCTGCTGTTGGAGCAGCTGCAACTGCTGAATGGCATCGATCTCCTTGGGCATGGATCCGTGCAGGTCCTCGGGCGGACACCACATGAGGTCCGTCTCCGTGAGCAGGGGCATGTCATCGCCCATCGGGATGTAGGGGGCGCGCATCCCGAAGTCCACGAACGAGAAGTCATCCTCCTGGGTCAGCGAACTGGGGCTGCACAGCGATGGCAGGCTGCTGTCCTCGGGACTCTGCAAAAAGGAAAGGAGAAAAGCGTTAGCATTTGCCATTGGAAATCCTCTGGACCCTCCTTAAAGGGTAGGGTCTACACCCACCTTCGATGTGATGCTGGGCGAGTGGAGATGCTGGGAGCAGCTCGTGTCGTTCGACTCCTCGCGGTAGTTGAACAGCGGATCGATGTTGCTGCTGCTGCTGTTGCTGTTGTCGTGATGCTGGCTGTTGCTCTGGTGGCTGGGAGTGCTCCCGTTGGAGGCCCCTGCTGCTGTGGTCACCACTTCTGTGGGCGTGAGCGGGCTGAGGGGACTGCTGGCGTAGCTGCTGCTTTGGCTGCCGCTGTGGCTGTGGCCGCTGCTCCTCTGGTAGTGGGGCGCCACGCTGGCCGTCGTCGAGCAGGTGGTCGAGTCCAAGGAGTTGATTTCGTCCGGCAGCAGGCAGGAGCTCATGAGGCCCACCAGCATGTCGCTGAAGGGCGTCATCTCGTCCAGCTGGATGCAGGCCGTCGAGGCCAAATGGTGGGACAGATCGTCGGGTTCCTCCTTGAGCACTGAAATAGCGATAGAGACAGAGATTTGGTTAGTATCGGTTTCTCCTGGTTTTCTCCTGCTTCTTCGATGCTAGAACTCTCTCAATTCGGTTTCGGTTTCGGCGTTGGTTTGTCATCTACGCATACATTTTGTGGCTGTTAATTAATGGAACCCTTGGCCATTGCCGAAAATTCATTTATCGCCAGAGCTAGTGCCAGAGCCAGTGCTAGAGCCAGAGCTCTGCTCTAATTGACAGCTCGTCTCAATTGAATCTAATTGAACGCGTTTCCTCCGTGAATTAGTCGCCTAGTCGATGGTTGCCACTGGCACTGCCCACTACCCACTGCCCACTGCCCCATCGAATCGAAATCGAGCCATGATTTTTATGGCTCTCATAACTCTTCCGCCCCTCTGGCACACAGGGAGGGAGCAGGGAGCAGGGAGCAGGGAGGGAGGACTCATTAATCAGCATTTTGGGGCAGCGCGCTATCAGCAGCAGCAAACCCCTTTGACGCACACGGAAAAAGTGCGGACAAAGCAAACAGAAAATAGAAAACAAATCGGAGAATCTCCGAGGAGGGAGGCTGCATCCTATTATTCTTAGTGATTTTTCCTGAATTAAATAACTCTCGTGAGGGCATCAATCCGATGCGATTGTCAAAGGTGCACGGCGCTTATCATCTGCCAGAAAGCCACCCCTGCGCTGCCCCCCGACCCCCCAACCCCTGGGACTCAGATTCATTCGCTTGGGATGCGGCTCTCGCGTCACGAGCATCTGACCCGATCCCCGCTCCCCGATCCCCGTCCCCTCTATCAAACAAACCAATAGTATTATATGGTGTATATGCTAATAAAACTGGTCTCAACCGCCTCGGCGACTATTAAGTTGCAATGGCAGACCGCAGGCCAAATAGAATTTCAAATGCATTCGTGAGTGTATTCGTGAGTCTATGGACAGGAATGTGAGTGCATTGCAGGGGGGCTTACTTCTGTGGAGTGCCATAAATCCCTCTGACAGCGGCACCATCAGCAGCCATATAAGCAGAAGCCTATCGTGCTCTCTCCCAGAGTGGATTAGCCAGCTATCTGTTTTCTGCCCACACACAACTCTCCAGGCGAGTACTGTACATATATCTATATACATATGGTAGCAATAAAGATCCGATTATCTGTAGGGCTTTTTAGGGATGGGGTGGGGTGGTGGAACACTCATTCTGGGACTGGGACTGGGACGGGACGGGACCTGGGACTGGCACCTGGAACCTGCGACTGGCACTTGCTCTTGCGGTCGCTGCATTCGACACAAACAAATTAATTAACAATGCACGCCTAAAGGTGGTCTCCCCCTGCACCTGCCCTTGGGGCAGTACCCGGCACTGGGCACCCGGCAGTGTATTTGTGACTTGTAATTATGGCACTCGAGTGCTATTCAAACGCTGGCATCGCCGCTGTCGCCGAGGCTTTTGCGGAAAAAACAACAGAAATTATGGCGTATGATAATGCAAAGCCCCCCACCCCCACGCCCTCCTTAGACTGCCCCTGCCCCCTGCCGATCCCTCAGAATCGAGTGCAGTTCATGAAATGTGCAAGGCCGCATTTAGCGGCTAACTAAATGGCTAAATGGGCCTACAACGACGACTCGTAGAGAGATGAGAACAGGCCGAAGGCTGGAGGCTGGAGGCTGAGCCGTGACTGCAACGGCGACTGTGGCCATCACCCAGTGAGTGATTCAATCGCCCAATCGAATCGAATGGGAGCCAGCAGCATGCTAGCATGTGAAAGGCATCTCTGCACTTGAGCCACATTCGGTGGGGCTGTGCACTTGAATATCGTGTGGCGCGTGTACATATATTCGAAAGTTTTTTGGGGAGGGAACAGGTTGCCGCATTAACACACGAGACACAGGCACAGATACAGATACAGATACAGATACATACAGCACAGACGGACCCGTGACTTGGGAGGGAAATCTTCAGATGATGGAAAGAGAGAACCCAAGCGAAAAACAACCTCAATTTAAATAAATTTATGTCATCATCTTTGCAATTGAAGAGCCAGCAGCTCCTGCTCCTCCGCTTCTCCATTCCTCCAATCTCGTGTCGTGTCGTGACGTGACGTAGCTCCAAATCAGAATCAGAAAAAACAAAGACTGAGACAGAAACAGCATCGAAAATGACTGCCGGACACTGGCACTTAAGAAGCGACCAAAGCCAGAGACAAAACGGGGCCACAGGGCGATGCCTTGGCGATGCTTTTTTTCAGTTTTGTTTTCCGTATGTAAGAGCCCAAAAAATATTGAACGATTACACAGCAGAGCCACACAGACGACTCTCAGACAATCAGCGATGGAGCGAGTGAAGCGGCGATGAACTTGAACTGCCGCACCGGGCCGGACAGCCCGTACGGGCCGTACAGGCGGGGTATTATCATCCCATCCCATCCCGTTAATGTGATTAGGGAAGGAGAAGAGTCTGTCCCTCTGCCTCTGTGCATGGACAGTCGTGTTGGACTCGTGCTAATCACGATAGGAGTGCGTTTACACGTCATGCCCCATCGATCCGTTGGAGCATAATGGCTGTCGGCCCCATAAATGCTATATTATTGGTCTATATTTATGGGCAGCAATGTGTTCAGCTTTACGTGTTCCTGTTTCTGTTTTCGTTGCTGCTTCTGTTATCGTTACAAATATTTGCTTTTGAAGATTGCGGATCGGATAACAGCATAAAGCAATTACAGTGAAGCTTCTGTTGTTGATTGTTTGCCAAGGGATCTAGACTCTGGGCCGTAGAAGGAGGAGTATCTGTGCACCGGACTGCAGTGCCCTGCTGCCTTCGAGAGTATCTTCTGGACTGCAATCGCAATCAAACGCTGATTAGAGGAGTGGAATATCTCAAGTTTGAGGGAAAGCAACCTGCCCATAGTTCTAGAACCATTCCAGAACCCCCTTCCTGATTCCCGAATCCGAAGCTGCAGACGAGACAAAAATAAAGCCAAAGTTGCTGCGGTGCGGCGTTTCCCTGTTTATTTACGTTCCACGAAACGAAAATAAATACAGCCAATGGCGGAGGGGGGGCGACAGGTATCCGTATCTGTATCTGTATCGGTAGTATCTGCGGCAGGCAGCGCAAAATGTCAACAGAAAGCGAAAGCGATTAGGGGCAGAGGCAGAGGCAGGTCCCCCTCCTTTCAGAAGAGAAGCAATTTCAAAAAATACCCAAAATTTGGGCAGCAGAGAGCTATGTGGCCAAGTGGCAAACGACGCAGGAGTGCGGTGCTGGAAGGGGAGCGGGACACATGCGAGACAGATCCGCTTGATCCATGGCCGGACCTTGGCACACGCGCCAAAACGTTCCTCTCTCTGTGGCTCTTTCTCCACTCTTTCACTCCCGCTGCGTCCGACGACTGCCGCGCATCGCTTAACATATTAATTGGCTCAAGTTAATATTCATATTTCGGGCTCTTGTCACCAGGCGACAGAAGCGTGCAAGTGGGAGCCCCAAAAAAATACAAAAAATAGAAAAATAAAAAACAAAACAGAAAACAGAAAACAGAAAAGAAAAGAACACAAAAAATAAACCACACACAAATTCTCTCGCCACTAAAAAAGAATATCTAAAATTTTCCAATGGCCTTTCGGATGCTGCCACACACACAATCGGACAGAGCAGGGCGGAGCAGCAGAGTATTTTTCCACAGCGTGAGATCTGACGGATTGATCCTATAAGATAAATTATTTCAATTCATCGGGGGGTTACATCGAGAGATTCATTGGAAGACTCATGTTACTGCTTAGAAACTGCTTTATTTGCACTCTTAGTACTGCTTGTACTGCCTACCAGCCTCTTCCTAGATTCCTACACTGCTTGTTTTGCTTTACCCTCTGCTTCTCAGCTGCCCAATACTATTCAGAGCCTGATCTACTGCTTGCACCTTAGCGGGATCTACTGCTTACTTTATTCCATCGATAGACACAAAAAAGGGACCCCAGCGTATACTCTTGTGTCGATGGGCGATCTTTAAATGTATCACATATTATGGGAAGCTGATGCATATGCATATCTGGTCGATTGCATCTGAATTGTTATTCTATTCGAATACGCTACGTATGCGTAATGTGCCGGCTAGCATGACATAAGAGGGGCTGCCGCCGCTTAGAGCCGGAAAATGCACTGGCAACCGGCATTCGGTTGAGTGAGGAGTGGAACCCACTATATACTACTCGTTTATATGGCTTTATATACATTTATATTATGCACTTATCAGGCGAGGCGAGGCGAAGCGAGGCGAGGCGAGGCAACCACTGAACATTGTTTACTAAATGCAGTTCTTGGGGGGCGTGGCGGGGTGGAAAGCGAGGGAATGGGAATGTGCTGTGTTGTTGTTGTTGTCTTTACAAGTAAATAGTTTTATTTGCGCAAATTGCGGCCAGAGTCAGGCACTGGCAGATAAGCAGAAAAACCAGCAAACCGACGGACTGATCGCCAGAACGACGGAGGGACTGAGTGACTGAGTGACTGAATGACTGACCAATCAACCAATCGACGCTGCCTCAGGGGGTTACGACAATGCGTCAAATCACATCAAATAGCGCGCGTCACTGCAAAAGTTCTGCCGCTCGTTGCCCCGTCCCGCATTTATGCATAGAATCTATAAACAACAATCCAAACGATAGAGGCAGAGGCGCAGGCAATACATATGAATGAGCTGTTGTTGTTGTGGAATGTGTGTGCGTGCAAGTGTTGGTGAACATCAATGAGTGTTGGTGAGTGCTGGTGAGCGGCGATACGTTGACTCTTTAGCCTTGAACGCAGCACTGCACCTGATGCATTTGATGGATGTGTACTCGTACTTCATGCAATGCTTTCTACCCTTCCGCTTATCTTGCTATCAGCGTATCAGCGTATCAGCCGGATGATCCCCAACCGAATTGAGTTCGTTCTAAATACATTTAAAAAGTGGATTAGCAGAGTGGTTTAACTTGCGACGGGTGTGTCGCTGGGATACTCACTTGTTAGGCCTCGTCCATCGTCAGCGAATGATAGGAATCCCTTACTCATATCTTGAGTCGCTTGCAGGTTCTGCTGCTGTGGCTGCTGCTGATTGCTCGACGAGAGAATCGCTGCCGTTGCAGTTGTTGTCGGCGGCAGAGTGGGCTCTGCTGTTTTCTTGAACCCTGCCCCTCCACCTGCTGCTGGGGATATGGATATGGCTGGTGGGGTGAGAGGTGGCGCCGGACTGGGCCGGAACACCGAAGCAGTCACCGACTTGGGGCGCTTCTCCTCGATCCGCAGGCTGCCGCCGCAGTTGCTGTTGTTGTTGTTGCTGATCAGCTGTGCTGTGATGGTGCGGGGACCCGGCGAGTGGTTCTCTCGCTTGATGTGGAGTTCTTCTGCCTGCAGTTGTTGTTGTTGTTGGTTGGTGAGTGGGGTTGCTGTTTCAGTTGTTGTTGTTGTTGTTGTTGTTGTTGTTGGTGTTGGTGGGTTGGTTGCAGCAGCAGCAGCAGAAATTTCGGTTGGAATTGGAGTTTTCTTTGCTGCCAACAGCTCTGGCTCTGGATCTGGCTCTGGATTGTTGTTGATTTCCGTCGCCGATTCCTCGCTCAAAATCGAAGTCGGTATCGGAATCGATTGGGGCTTCTCCTCAAGCTCTATTGGAGCTTCGATTTTCTTAGCTGTTTCGCAGTTTGATGTTTCTTCCTCTGCTGCTGTTGTTGTTGCTGTTTCTGTTGTGTTGTTTTTGTTGTTGTTATCGATGTCAGATGATGCTTGTTGGTGTTGTTGTTGTTGTTCCTTTTGCTCACTTGCCGCCGTTTGCTGAGCGAGTGAGTAAATCTCATGTTTGTTCTCAAGATTACTGCAAGAATGACGAATCGAAGCGCGTTTCGAAATGATTTATATACTTATAGGGTATGCGATATGTCGGTTCTTTTGCGTTCTTTTTGTTCATTTGGTTTTCTTTTCGCGTTTGCACTCGTTTGTTACACCCACAGGCACCGAGAAAAGCGCGCGATACAGTCGGGGCAGATACTTTCGTATCTCGGAAATGTATGTGCTTCACAATGTATCTTCCAACAAAGTATCTGTGCAGTGAGCACACAGAGCACACACAGAATCACACAATCACAGTCGCGTGTGGCAGCAGCTGCTACTGTGTGGCAGCTGCCTCGCACTCGTTCTCTGGTTAGTAATTAGCAATTAGCAGACTTAGAAATTAACACTAGGTCTCCCTCCCGCCCCCTCCAACGAGCCGAATTGAGCCACCCACACCCCCACCCCCACCGCACCCTGGAGGGTCGGATGTGTTGCCTAACTAAGGTCTCCCCTGCACCTCCTTAAGTCAACTGATTAACTAGTTAACGATGGACACGGCGGGCGGGGTCTGGTCTGGCCTGGTCTGCCTGGCTTCCCATTACTAAATTTCACAACCGCTGGAGCATTGGAAAATTTTCCTCTGCCGATAAGCCCCGCCAAGGCACCCGGTTTCGGGGTCACCCCCACACCGCCATCCAATCGATCGAGAGCATGGATTCCACGCATCCAGCGTTCACCTCTTATCACTTATCCAGACACTCGGAATCAGAAGCGACGCGTTCGGGGAGCACTCGCCGGGCAGCCGTGATAGATAGCGATCGGAAAGGCACTGCTCGCACGGAAGGTGGGTGTGTCCGATGTCTCACAAGGCAATAGCACAAGAGCTGAAGGCTGAACCCTAGCAATCCCCCATTCCACCCCACCCACATTGATAAGGCGCCTGCCCCTCCGAATGTCAGTAATCTCTAAAGAGAGAGGGAGAGAGGACAGAGCACAGCAACACGGACACTCTTCTCGGCGTCTCTCGGCCAAATTTGATTGTTTTGCAAATGTTTTTTGTTGCCTGTCTTTGATAAGATAGTGCGCTCGCCTTCATGATCGGCCGACTAAGGCAGCTGGCTCTGCCCCTGCCCCTGCCCCAACCTCTGGGCTAATGGTCGTGAGGTGTGCATGCATGGAGCGGGTGAGTATCAAACGTTAGACGCGTGAAGCCCCCGTGGGGCCCCCGTGAAATCATCGTGGAATGCCCCGACCCGACAGCCGGTACTGATCGTGATAAAGGCGCCGGCCAGCACCACCACATCATCATCACACGATATTCACAGCTGAGCGGCTGTACGACTGAACGACTGACGACTGAACATTACGGAAAACACTCGATCGATCTATATTTGTGCGTCGGCGGCCTCAAGTGCTGGACATGATGAGGCGGAATATAACCAGCGACAAAACAACAAAACAACGGAATATTATTTATAATTTGAGATTTGAGACACAAAGCCCCAGCCCCAGACGGCAGTCGGAGTCGACGTTTTTTTTTGGGGGCTCGTCTCTCTGGTGAAATACCAGAAGTCCAGAGTACCAGAGCCACAATTCAGGGGCACCCTGGGGGCGGGATTCTTCGCGGAGGTGCGAAGTCATGTACGACATTGAAGTGAAGTGAAGTGAGGGTTTTTCAATCTAGATAGATAGATAGCCCAGCCCACTTTAGTGGGTTCCCAATGTCATTCCGGGAGTTGTTGCGCAACCCGGAAAGAGTGGTGGGCGGGGGCAGAATCGATGGATCTAGACACACCCACCTGACACAGAACACACAGATACACATACACACAGATGCAGAACACAATAGCAGATACATCTAGATAATTGCTTCATCTTCTTTTGTTGTGGCGGGGGACGGGATCGCCAATTGTTGGCCGACTGCGGCTTATGCCTGCTGCAACCAGTTAGAACCAGACACCGTTCCGTTCCAGGGCTGCTCCGAAAAGGCTTACATCACGTCATCGTAATTAGGCATCCACTCGAGCGGAGTGGGGGGCAGAGTGGGGCGGGCAGTGGAGTGGGAATGAAGTGTTTGAGAAGTGCACCCACCAGAGGCTGATAAGTGATAACGGGACTATCGCACTATCGATCCCCAGAGCTTTTGAACTGTGGGCCCCCAGTCGCGATTCGCCCTGAGCCGCGTCAAAGCTGAAGTGCGGAGTCAGCGTCAGCGTCAGCAGCAGCAGCGGCAGCAGCAGCGGCAGCAGCAGCGGCAGCAGCAGCGCTGTTCGATCGCCTGATGTATGCGCCTTCCTGCTCGCGCTTTTGGCTTGGAAACAGCCCAGCACAGCTCTCCCTCTCTCTCACACACTCTCTGTGTGTGTGTGTGTGCAAATGCACAAATTAATTACCGTGTGCGAAGAGCGCAACTAAACGAAGTTTAAGTACAAGCAAATGGGAGAGAGGAGGAGTGGAATGACAGTAAAACATTTAAGAGCACATTAGTAATGCATCGGCCATGCAAATAGATCTTTGAAATGAGAGGAGTGCAGTCGCAAGGGGGTGCGGGATGCTATGTAAATTAAAGCAACAATTTCTTATTGTGTAACAAATTGCGTCGAAGGCAGAGGCAAAAAAGAACAGAGAGAGGAGCATAACAGAGCAGAGCAGCGACAGATATACAGAATCAGCGCCTATAAAGACAGAGAGAGAGCGAGGAACAAAACAAGCAAGCAGACGACAACAAACAGTCAGAGACAGAGACAGAGAGACATAAGCAGAGGAGAGGCTGTGTGTTCTTTTTTCTCCTCTTCCGCTGATTTCAATTGCAGAGAAATAACGTGTACACGCCTATAGTGGATCCGCTGCTCCCGCCACCCCTCCCCTCTTCCGACGCATGGACCAACGCAGCGTAAAATAGCAGTAATTGCGCTCTGTCAGAAGAGTCTGGTGTGTGTGTCGCTGTCCCTGTGTGTGTAGCAAATTGAATGAACGAAAAAAAGCCAGTAGCGTATAGTGGATAGCAGTAGGGGAGGGAGGGGGCTGGCAGGCACAATGGACCCTGAATTAAGCAGATCAAAAGAGCGTACAACCGACAGAAATTGAGGAGAATATGTTTACTCGGGGAGTTGTGTAATCAATTGGTTGGCCCCCCGGGCGAGCGGGGAGGGGGATGCACAACAAACACTGACACGGAACAAACACTGGACACGGGGGAAATCGGGGGCCAGACAGACCTCTCCACAGTTGCGTTGCACTCGCAATTAAACGCACACTTTACCTTTAATTAATTTCTATATTCTGGCATAAACAAATGCCAGCGCTCGCTCAGCAATTTTATGTAATGCAAATTTGCAAATGCAATGCGGCTGCTGCCCCGTAAAAGAACAAGAAACGAAGAAGAAAGAACAAAACACACAGAGCTGCCTGGTCCGTGGAGCGGAGAGAGTGATTGAGAGAGGGGCAGAGTGAGGCCTACCAGGCGGAGAGAGCATTTTTGGACAACGGCAGAGCAGAGCAGCGGCTGAGGCAGCGGCAGCGGCAGCAGCAGCGAATGCACGCAGAATGCAATCGCAATTGCAGGTTAGGATCGAGTGTTGTGTAAAACTTTCGACTCTTCTTCCTTTCTCCCCACTTTCGTTGGATTAAATTCTAAAACGCGCATTAAGATCGTTCTTAAGCGGCTTTTAGACCGAGGGTAACAAACGTTTGCATACACATTTCCAATATGAACCTGAACGCGGATCTGGATCTGGACATGGACGGACCAGAGATCAGAGCATAGCAGATCGTTGCTGATTTTGATAATCTCCTCCACACACACACACACTCACACAGACACACACATAATAGCAGGCTGATTAAAATAGGAATTTTATATACTTTAAGCTATATATTATCTGCACGAGTGTGTTTGTGTGTGTGTGTGTGTTTGTGTGTCATTCCACGCATAATAAAGTTTATTTTTGTCATTTTTTTTTTGTTTTTCTCTATGGCAATTTGTTTAATTTTTGTTTCTTGGTTTTAGAATTTGTTTTATTCCACGATATTCACATCACAAAATACAAAATTGGAACGCCTTTGCTCTTGATATTTTATGTAATTTATTAACTTTTTCGCCAGTTGAAATTTCCTAGCGGATCTTTACCTTTGATCGAAACTCTCTATCTCGAAATTTCCTTTAATTAACTTTGCATTTCTCCCGTTCCGTTTACTATTTTCAATATTTACAGTTATTCTCGAATGCTTCTTGCGTTATTATTGACTTTTATATTTTTTGCACCAGTCGAGTATAAGTATGAGGGGGGAGGGACTCGCGCTTCGAATTTGTTTTCGATCTGATCCCGTTCCGATCCGATCCGTTGCGATTCAACCGATTCTGACCGTAGCTGGCGAAGTAAAAAACACAAACGTCAATCGACGATTGTTTTTAAGCACGACACGGCGACACGGCACCCCGGAGTGAGTGGAGGGGGAGATAGAGCAGAGAGCAGCAGCAGAGTTTAGTTAATAGTTTTTAGCACACACCACACTCAGCGCACACACAGTTCCGTGGCAGCGTCCAGGTTCTGCTCTGCTCGAGAGTGTTTGTGTTGTTGGAGAGAAGTGCACGAAAAGTGTTTGCTCGGGTGCTGTGCTGGCGCTGCGGAGCGCTGCTTTGCTTAGCTTTTGCTTTCGAAGACCCAGAGAAGAATGAGTGGAAACATTTTTTGTATTTAAGTTTTTAAGAGAGAGTGCCGTGCCGCAGTCGCTGTCGCTGTCGCTGTCGAGGGCTTGAGTGGCATGTTTGGAGAGTGCTGCCGCCGATTCTTGACTGCGCAGCCGACACTTGGTATAACATGCTGCTGGAATACCTTAACATAGATAACAGGGTGGACGAAGTTTAACAACAGTGTCGAAGGAAATTGTCGGGGGCTGTGCTATTGAGTGAAACGCCAGCGCAGGCCGCAGGCCGCAGCCAGCCCCAAAGCGTCGCGGGAGAACGCCAGCAAAAAGAGAGTGTAGCGCAGGAGAGCGGCGCCGGCGCACTCTCTTTGAGTGCCTATGCAGCGCTTGACTCAT